TATTTAGTAGGAAAAGCCATCCATTAATTGCCAATAGGATGACATACTTGGTACCATTCTGTCAATTCTATATTTTGAATTAATTTAACATCCAGGTGGTTGGAAAGCCAGGTAATAAATTAGTCTGATAACCATCTTTTTATATAATTTCTGGAAAATCTATTCATTAAGAAAACTTTTGAAAAAATGCATTCTTCAAAGACAGTTGCAAATTCTAGCAGCTTTCTTGAATGACATACTGATACTGGAATTCATACTTGATATTTAAATGCATCTTAAATAAATTAATTTGCAATAAGCATTTAAAAATAATTTAGTTATCTCAGAAAGCCATTGATTATTATGAAAAACTATAAAATAAACTTTATTAATATTAAATTTAAATAAAAAACAAGGAACCTGAAAGCACCTGATAATAAATTATACCAAAAACCTCTTTGATAAAAAAGTATTTAAAGACTCAATCACAAGTCAAAAATTTAAACAGTATTTTACTATTAACCAATATTATCTTTATTTAAAAGTCAAAAACAGTATGATTAAGCATGAAAATACAAAAATTTCAGAGAATAGTTACTCCTTGTTTTAAATCACCCTGATCCATTCTGCACATTGAAATACCATTAAGAAATATAGAAATAATAATATGAAGTATGGCATAAAAATATAAGACATACATATGGTATAAGAATATAAGACATTCTTTTTTAAAAAAAGAAATAGAAAATGCCACTGTAAAAGCCATGTTAATACCACAAAAACTTTAAGCAGAAATTTAAAATGTCATGTCTTATGCTACATATATATATATATGTATATATAATTTTACTTTATAGCAGTCCTTTTAATGTAGGGAATGTAGATAAGTAAAAGTAAGACAAATTATATAGGTAAGATACTATTTGAACACTAATTTTCTATACAAAATGTTATACATCATTACAGGAAATAATATATATGTCTGTTCAAGATTGCAATTGCATTTCTAAATATAAGGCAGAAGAATTACTATTTTAGAAAGCAACAGCTTTTAATTTTTTTAAGTTAGTAGCATATAAAAATGAACATTACAAGAAACTGAGTAAAATAACTTTTACCATAAAAGGATAAGTATAATTTAAAAATAAGTCATATTTCTAAGGCACCCATCTCAGGAAAACCACAGCTGAGATCACTTAGACTTTTTTGTTTAATACGGAGCCTATCCCACATATTGACTGTGTTGAAAGAATACAATGCATGCTAGGAAGCGAACGTGCAATAAAGGTAAGTTAATTAATCAGAGTATTTCACTTAAACACTGTGTTTTTAGTTATTACAAACAGGTACAATTGATATAGCTATTTGTAACTGTATAGATACTATATAATCTTTATTGATAAGTTGTGGTTCGCAGAGAAACAGTATGATTGCTGTTTGATTTTCTTCTTGGGATAGATACAGATTTATCTATCATGTAAATAAAAAGCAGTAAAATATTAAGGGAAATGTCAGAATTTGTAATTTTCGCTTTTATAAAAAGTGCTACACAGAATGCCACATTAAAACACTTGAAAACAAAACTTTAACTCTTGCTGTTAGGACAGCACAGTGATTATCAAGGGTTTTCTTTAAAAAGGAATGTTTAAAAGAAAACATTTTCTTCTCTGTATCACATCAAATGAGAGACAAAGATATC